ACGTCGTCCATGCCTTACGCCGCCCTTGGTCATAGAAATGATGTAATTTGAATATAAATTATTTATAAATACGTATGTCAAGTTATATTTTTATTACTACGTAAAATATATTTAAGAGTTTACGACCACTGTGCCGGGTGAGACGTTGTTGAAACAAAAAAAGTTATGCATTCCATCACGTACATAAACAGTGTCGTAATTCGCCAAGTGCAAATCAGCAAATTCGTAAAATTTTTGTTTATTTTGAACAATCCGGATAATCGAAAATCCGAATAATGGAGGTCCGGATAATGGAGGTTGTACTGTATATAAAAGTAAATTAAAGGATGGTTGTATTAATGCCAGAGATGTGGATGGATTAGCTTCTGCCTGGAAATTTTACATAAAAGAAAAATTAATATATAAGAATTCTTAGTCCATACCTGCCCTTATATTAATATTTTGATGCATTTTTATGTATTTATTTTATTTTATCATTTATATCGTTGTTGCTTCAGTGTATTTAGTACATTTTATTTTATTTTATTTTTATTTTATTTTGTTATTTATTTGTTAATTTATTTATTATTTTCGTTTTAAATTTGAATGTATAATGTTTGAACATTCCATTGTTACAGTTTTACAATACATTTGAACTCATTTATACCTGAGGCTGGCCTATTCCATGAGGCTGAAAATATTAGTGTTTTATTAAATAAACATTTCTCAGTGATGGAAGGTTTTTAATGTTCCATTAAGTATATGTTGTGTTTAATATAATAAATTGGTTACTATGTATTATCACTAGTTATTTTACAAAATAATCAATATTTGTGGTTAATGTGATAAAATACATGCAATTAATTATTTTCAATGGTTATTATGTAGAATAACCAATGAAAATAATTAATTGCATGTATTTTAACCTTTTTGACTCAATTAATAAATTAAAAAGTACACAATCTTTTTATTCTTATGATTTTTAATGGACAACCTCCTACTTGTTGGAACAGAGCGAAGTGTCATGAAATTTCAAATTATAGAGTATTCTATGTCTTTTGCAGTTACATTTTGTCAAAAGGCATTTTTTCTTTCAGTTGCATCTCTTGTATCCTTGAGGCAATTTTCTGGCATTTTTGTGAAGAGACACAATAACATTGATTTTACAAGAAAACATTCCCAAAGTGAACAAATGACAAACTGGTTCCTTGAATACTTTTGAGTCAATCAGCCTTTTTTAGTGCCAATCTCATCTATCTACAAAATGATTCCCAGAATGTTCCTGGAGTCAGACTTCCACTGAAGACATAAGGAACTTGCAGTTTAATATTACCTCCAATTTTTTCCCTTGGAAACTTTGTGAGATGTTTATCTGATCTTTGCCTGAGACTGCAATGCACTTCTGGCATCTCTTTTTCTTAATAATGTTGATCTTATCAGCATAACATTCTGTCCTGAACTGCCCTTCATAGCTCTGTCTCCATCCTCTACTTGTTCATCATCCTCATCACTGTTCTCTATTTGTCCATCTTTCTTGTCACATTTATCCATATGTATGAGGCATGATGTACAATAGACAAGTTCAAACTTGCAAAAATGTGAGATTTATTATTTTATTCAGAGGGTGCTGGTTATTGTTCATAATGACAGGTTAATATAATTAATTTTACAAAAAACAAATAATTTATCACTTTCACCAAAACTTGATTATGAAGAATATCCAATGATTGTGCATATTCACCAGATTTAATGATTTAACCACAACATATATATTAATAATAAAATATACACTACTGATAAAGCTTAAAATCAGTGATAAAATACACAGTAACAACTTTTTCCATAACTGTACAATAAAAATTGAATTTTTGGCAAATTTTTAAAATAATATATTTCTAGTGACCTTGAGTGACTGATATTTGCTTAGGGTGTTTTCAAACTAAAGCACTAAAACCTATAGAGCCAGTTGGAGGAAGAATGGTTAAAATCAGCAATAAAATACATGGTAACTTAAATTAGTTAATTTATTGTGACTACTTCAAGTTTTTACATGTGTCAATAGCTAATACATTTAAACTATTGCACTTTAATTTCATCAAAGTATCCACCATGAGCTTTAATTCACAGCTGCCCAAATTTGTGGCATACATTCCAACAGTTTGATGAGGTAAGTAGAAGGGATGCTATTTCATGCAGCTTGTATAGATGTCCAGGACTGTTGAATATTGTGATGTGTCTTTTGTCAAATTTTTTTGTCCATAAAGTCCCAAGCAGTTCAACAGATATATCCCATAAATTTCAACATACTCTACTGCTTTCTTCTGTTTTAAATACTACTTACATAGGTTGGATGTGTGATTAGGGTCATTATCTTGTTGAAAGACAAAACCATCTCCAAGACAACATTGACCAGCAAGACAACAAAGTATTTGATGATAGCCTTGTTCAACAATCCCTCAATCCTGTAAATGTCATCTAACTTATTTCCAGTAAAACATCCCCATACCATAATATTACTCCATCATATTTCATTGTAGGAGCTATACAGTTTTTTTAATCTCTCATCTGTTTTGTTGCAAACAAATATTTTATGGTTTGATCAAGAGCTTAAATTTTAACTCATCAGTCAATAGTACCTACTTCCATTCTGTCATTGACCAATTCTTGTGCTATTTTACTCACTGCAGTCATTTAGCCTTATTTCCACAAAGAAGGAATGGTTCACATGCTACAACTCAACCATGGAAACCAGCCTTCTGCAATCAACTCATCACTGTGGACACAAAAATGGGTGTTTGCCTCATACTATGGATGTTATAATAGCCAACACAGTCAGTTACCTGCTTTGCATGCTAACATGATAATAAACCTGTCCTCACAAGCTATTTAATTAATTTCAATTCATATTCATTAATATCAATTAATTTTAACTGAATTAATTTTGAAAAAGTACCTTTGTTTTTGCAGTTCAGAAGGCCATTCTTCTCTTACAAGTGGCAAATAATTAAGTAAAATCTGAAAAAAATACAATAATATATTTTATATTATTTTATATGTAATTTTATATATGTTCAAAGACAAAAAATATCAGTCTTAATTTCATTAAAATATTATCAAAATTTAAAAACAACAATGTATATGTAGTTTGATCTTCAATTTACAATATGCCAATAATTACATGACTGACAAATAAATTGATATTTGTAATGCAACAGTAAAAATATCAGGTTTTTACTTATTTCTACTAATATAAATTTTGAATTAATATATTTATAATTATCAATACTTTAAATCAGGAGTATTCCTTAAATTATCACCATCATCAATTTTACAATAATTTTTTCCACAGATTTAAGACAAACTTTTTAAGAAACAATTTTTAACAAAATAGTAATATCTGTTTAAATTTTGAATCAAAATGTATCACTTCAAAACTTTTTTCTATTTGCTACTTGCATTTAACATCTTATTAATTATCATATTTATCTTATTTAGATATAAAAAACCATGCCCAAATTTGACTAATAATGAAATGATAAAAACCAGATTAAGTAATGGCTTAGTAACTTCTAGCCTGATAATAAATCATATGATAAGTTTGATTAACTATTTTATTTAAAATCTAAGGAATAAATGCATGATCATACCCTCCAACATAAAGCTCTGTATTTGCCATCATCTGGTATTCCTATAAAATATATAATAAATTTTTAAAAATTATTTATTTGCTATAAGCAATAAATTATATATACTGTATATATACTGCATTATAAATCCATTTATTATCTAGTCACATTTATTATTCATGTATCCTACTTGAAAAAATATTTAACAGTGAAATACTACCATACTTCCTTGAATAAAGATGAATCATACAATCAATAACACTTTATATCAGTGTTCCTTAACAGGGGGCCCGCGGCCCCCTGGGGGTCTGTAAGAAGTTTGCCGGGGGCTGCCAAATTATGCAAAATTTCCTTCAGAATATAATAAAAAGAAAATTGATGTATAACCGAATATTGTATTGAAAAGTGAAATAAGAAAGATAAAGTTATCGTATTTAGTTTTTTTATTTATTTCTTATTTTTTCCTACATACAACTTTGTTAGTACAGAAGAAATAAATGCAAATATGCTACTTACACCACACTATTTATTTCTTTTATTTCAAAGTAATTCTAAGAAACTATTAAAACTATTAATGCTTGGAATTTTGCATACAAATTCTTGCAGAAAATCCTCC